AAAATAATCTTCAACTCATCTATCCAGCAATCCATTAATCCTCTTCCACTTATCTGGCATCGGGTTGTTTGGGTAGAAGCTTCAGTAGGGAAGCCCAGACGTCACTCTCCCCAGTCACTTGAGCTAGCTCTTCCAAGGGAATCCCAAGGCGTTCTCAGGCCAGCCAAGAAACATACTCCCTCCAGCGTGTCCTAGATCTCCCTCTGCTTCTTCCCCCCGGTGGGATGTGCCCGGAACACCTTGCCAGGGAGACGTCCAGAGGCATCCTGACCAGATGCTCAAGCCATCTCAACAGGCTCCTCTTGACGTGGAGGAGCAGGGGCTCTACACTGAGTCCTCCCTGGATGACTAAGCTCCTCACCTTATCTCCAAGGGAGAGCCCCGACACACTATGGAGAAAACTCCTTGTGTCTGCTTGTATCTGGGATCTCGCTCTTTTGGTCATGACCCGGGCTGCGAACTACCCCAGCAAGAGGTTTAGCTTATGCCCTGATGAAGCCAAGATAACCATGTCATCATCACATAGCAGAGACACAATCCTAAGGCCACCAAAACAGATCCCCTCAACATCTTGGCTGTGCCATGAAATTGTGTCCATAAGAGAACAGAATATGTGAAAAAGGGCAACCTTGGCAGAGTCCAAGTGTCACAGGAAATGAGTCCGACTTACTGCTGGCAATGTGGACAATTCTCTGACACTGATCATACAGAGACCTAACAGTCCTTATTCAAGGGCCTGGCACTCCATACTCCTTGAGTAACCTTCACAGGACACCCTCGAGGGACACAGCCATTTGCCTTTTTCAGATTCACAAAATCCATGTAGTATGGTTGGGCAGACCCCCATGCACCCTCCAGGATCCTGCTAAGGGTGTAGAGCTGATCAAGTGTTCCAGCGCCAGAACGAAAACTACACTGCTCCTCTTCAATCCGAGAGTCGACTATCCGACAGACCCTTCATTCAAGAACAACGAAATAGACCTTACCAGGGAGGCTTAAGAGTGTGATTGCTTTGTAGTTGGACACACCCTGCCATGCGTTCTAACCACCATACAAGTCTGCCAATCCAGGGGATCTGCCCCCGATGTCCGCTCAATGTTGTAGAGTCGCTTTAACCAATACCAAGGGCCCATCATGGAAAGTGGGGAAGTTTTAAACAGCTACTAAGGCACAGCTCGAGTAATCTGGTACTGATGGCTGTGACCAGGTAGTTTAAATAGGAACTGGAACAGGTAGATCTGATGAGTGATAGATGGTGGATCAGGTGGATGAAATAAACCAATAATCCAGTCATCACTGCCAAGATCATGACAGATACTTTCTCTGGCCAGTACATTTCTTGTACGCAGAGTTTAGTTCAGCTATAAAAGATGGATCAAACACTGCAGGGTGGACAACTCTACGCTGCTTAAGGTCCACCAAACTTTTGTAGTTCCAGCGCACAACTCCTGTCATTCCTTATGCCTGGAACAACTCTGTGGAGACCCGATTTCTAGTGACCCACTGGGCCTGACGAAAATATATATCCCTCCTCCTGCGAAGAACCTCTGACAGGAGTCCAGATGGGGACATTTGTACCTTCTCCAGGTACATTGTTCAGTTGAAGGGTTCCACCATACCTATACCTATACATAATCCCTTGTGAAAGCTCAGGGTCACTCAAACATCCATGAAGAAAGTGCACCCTCTGTATCTGCCATGTGTTCAACACGGATGGCTTGAACCAAGGGACATCAATGGGATACTTTCCGAGGTAAAAGTGTTTCATCACTCCCTCCACTCTGACCAGTAGCTTTGTGGGCTGTGCTTGCAGGATAATACTGAACACATAGGCTTCCTTGAGCTTCTTTAGTTCCTAAAAGTGCTCCACCATCAAGCCCGACTTACCTTTATAAAGAACGTGAGGGATCAGAACGTGATAAATCTGTAATCTTGCCCACATGGGGTCTGCATCTCCAACAGTGCCTCAAAAGCAAGTAAAGTATGTCTTCTTTAGCTTAAAAAAACAGATATGCAACAACGCCATAATGCCTGGTGGTAAAAAAGTGTTAAAAAGTTACATCCGCAGTAGGTTATTCCTGTAGGAGAACAGGTTGAAACAGCGTCCACAAAATCACGGTTGTGGCCAAAAACTGTAATACATCTGTAGTGGTTTAGGACTACCATAGGGAATGAATGGGAAATGGTTAGGCATAGGAACATTCTCTATCTGATCTGGTTTGAGATTCTGTACAGACTCCTCAAGGGGGGTTTTGCTTTACAAAATGCTCCGGACAGAAGTGAAGAAAATCTGCCCAGATCTGTCTATCCTCCCTATACACAGTCAGTGTGACATTAGAAAAAATCGGACCTGAGATTAAAAAGTCGTATGCAACCAATGTGTTCTTGCCTTAAGATTTATAACATCAGAAATGGTATGGTTTTATCCTATCAGCTACAGAATGAGCAGCAAGCAATACTATACTAAAATTAATTTAGTGTAAAGGTGCCTTTAGATTTTACAGAAATTAATAAACATTACAATTATAGCTGGAAAACACTTCAAGCCGTTAATAATTAATGAGAGAAATTTTTTTGGATGAAATTAAAAGCAATTCCGTTCTTTCCAAATGTTTCATCTTTGTAGTAGGGTATGGGCCTTCTCTGATTCATTCCCATCAAACCTACGTCATTTAATTATGGCTTAGGTAATCGGATCAAAGAAAAACGCATTTGAATCCAAAAATAGGGGGAGACTCAAAAAATGTTTTTCTTAAACAGAAGCTTTTTTGTTTAAAGCAAAGTTTTTAATCCAAGTAATGTTTTGTTTTTGGAACATATGAGAAGGACCTGTAACCAAAAATTTGTAGTTAAATACTTTTAACCCTAAATAAATTGTTCATTCATTAGACAGCACTTGGCTTGGATATTATAAAAAATACCTCCAATGTACTCATTAAAGGAATAGTACACCCAAAACATGATTAGCCTTAATTTTCTACTCACCCCCATGCTGAACAACACTCTGGAGTACTTTTTTGATATCTCAAATGCATCTGGAGATCTGGGAGGCTTCTTGCTGTCTGCTGACATTCAAATAATGGAGGTCCATGGTGACCGAGACAGAAAGGTCCATAAAAGTCCACAAAAAACGTGTCAATATTCCTCCATACTGCTCATCCAATGTATTCCAAGTGTCCTGAATGGGTAGCATCCAGAATTTACTCGAAACGAAGTCATTTAGAATGTTTTTAGAGCATAAACAGTAGTGTATAGGATTTCCTGAAAGCGCGCACATGCGCGCTCACGAAGCTACGGAAGCCGGCAGACCAAGCCAGATGAAAGTGCGCATTCAGCGTCTGCTCTGCCGATAATGCAAGCGTAGAAGAAGAAATATGCTGTTTACCTGTGCAAAGAAAGAAACAACGAAAGAAAAATGTCTGAGGACTTCAGTGTTGAGGAAGAGCATGAGTTCTTTGCCGAGCTGAATGCGCTGGTTTGGTCTGCCGGCTTCCGTAGCTTCGTGAGCGCGCATGTGCGCGCTTTCAGGAAATCCTATACACTACTGTTTATGCTCTAAAAACATTCTAAATGACTTCGTTTCGAGTAAATTCTGGATGCTACCCACTCAGGACACTTGGAATACATTGGACGAGCAGTATGGAGGAATATTGACACGTTTTTTGTGGACTTTTATGGACCTTTCTGCCTCGGGCGCCATAGACCTCCATTATTTGAATGTCAGCAGACAGCAAGAAGCCTCCCAGATCTCCAGATGCATTTGAGATATCAAAAAAGTACTCCAGAGTGTTGTTCAGCATGGGGGTGAGTAGAAAATTAAGGCTAATCATGTTTTGGGTGTACTATTCCTTTAAGGTCTATATAAGGTCTTGTAAAGGGTAAACTAAAATAAAAAAGTTAGAACACTCCCCGTCGGGGAATTGAACCCCGGTCTCTACTGAAATCTAAGCATTTTCATCCTTTAAAATAATAATAAACACTTCATTAGTAGCAGCATGATTTCTTTAGAATATTATTGATTGGAACATAATCAGAACAAACAGAAAAGGTTGGGTTAATCAATACAGGTTAATGCCAAGACTGGGATTCGAACCCACACCACATTTTTTCAGGCTGTCAGCGTTTTACAGCTATACGCGACTGGCCTCATAGTGGTGAGTATCCCCGCCTGTCACCTGGGGGCCAGCCGAATATAGGTGTAGTTCACCAAAAGCCTAAAAACCTGAGGTTCCTGGTTCGATTCCCGGTGGTAGCAAACTTTGTTGTCCCTTTACAAAGAAATGATTCCTTGATTATGTTTTATATTTCAGGTACTATGTCTTACTACATGGAAAGCAAGTCAATAATGCAAATTAATTGCACAACAATGTTTTTACCGTTCTTTAACTATATTTTGCATTTGCATGCCTATCTGAATATATCAATGTCCTATACAGTTTTTTTTTTTTTTTTGCGTTTTTAGTTTATTAATAAATGATTAATCTTATCAGGTCTTTTAATGTGGAGTATGTTTGTTTATACATATAACCTGTGAAGGTAAGTCACAGTCACCTTTTTATTTAAATGTTGTTACTAGAAGGGGTGCATATACATACATACATACATACATATGTATATAAAATTTAAGAATGACCACATGGTAGTAATTAAATTATTTATTACAATCTGAACGTGAAAAAATATTTTCTTATCTAAACATATGTACAGAATTAAGTACAGGTATTAATGTAAGGCAAAGATGCAATGAAATTGAATTTTCTTTACAAATGTAAACAAAATACAGTATCAAAATGTCACTATATATATAATGTAATAGTTGTAAGAAAAAATATTTACAATATGTGTTACAAATATTTTAGAACTTTTAGTATTTCAAGTGGAAAAAGTAGAAATGAATGGAAAAAAATCCACTTGGAACAGTAACAAATCCCCATATCAAACTGTACATTGTTCATTGAAATTAATTAATATTTACACCGCACTATAGGACTTATCTGCAATTATTTGTCCTTTTCGGCAGCCCACCTCTCCTTTTCAGCCTCATAAAAAGAGGACTGAGAAAACTCCCCCCATGTCATTTCCCCTTTCATTCCCTGGGACTGGTACAAGGATAGGACTTTTGCAGGACAGTAAATGTACTTCCCATTCACACCAGGGAACCCAGTGTGAACATGGGAACTGTTTGGGCCTTGTTTGAGAGGTCTGTGGCAGAACCTGCACAGACGCCCAGCAGGCTGCTCCTCCTTGGCCTTCCTTTTTCCCCGTTCCTCCATCACCCGTCTTACTTCAGCTGCGCGTTGTTTTGCAGCCTCCAGCTCTCGAGCGAAAAATGGTGTGTCCGCAAAGTCAGAAAATGACATTCGAGGGTCAGACAGGCCCTCTGCCACATAGGTCTGGTAAACCTTTTGTGAGCAGTAAAAATACTTTACCTCTGCAGACTGATAGAAGAAATGAACAGAGGAGCCGTCACCCTGAAAACGGGACTTTGGCTGGCCACATGCTAGACAGTTCCTAGTTCTCTTCTTCATGGGCTGCTGATCTTTCTGCTGCTGTTGCTGTTGCACAATCTCCTTCACCATTTGCTCAATTTGTGCTTTCGTTAGTGGAGCATCCTGGAGCTTAATGGTAGGGGGGTTCACAGTTGCAGGTGGAATAGTGACTACTGGAACACTAACAGTCTCACTACCTTCTGTTAGATGATGCCACAGCTGTTGCGTCTCTAGAAGCTTCTCTGGGCTGATGTTTAAAGATGATTTTGTGTTTTTCATCTTGGCTAGATGCTTCACGTAACGCGAAATATGGTGTTTGGTGGTCGGGTGCAAAAGGCTGTTTGGGTCTTTCTGGGAAGCCTGAACACAAACAGCATATTCAGCATCCACCTTAACGAGGCAGTCTTTCTGCCCATGGTGCTTTTGTAGAAGCTGGTCAATCTTATCCCTCATGGGCTGTGTCCACCGGGAGTGGTCCAGCACAAAGATCAGACCACCTGCTTTGATGGGACCTTTGCGGGCAGCTCGAGGAGAGGCAGCAGGAAGCAGAGGTGTCACTGGTGTCTGTAATGGAGGAAGAGACATTAAAGTTTAGATTCAGAAAGAAACTTTATTAGTCCTCAGTGGGCAATTCATTTCTGCAGCCATTAGAATCTAAAATTTAAAAATATCAGGATTTTCCTCACAAAGTTTTATTAAAGTGGTGACAAAATGTGATGAAAAATACCTTTTTGGGGCTTTGCTGGACCCCACCTTGTGAGCCTAATGTAGCCACAGCAGCAGTGCCCCCCTGAAACAAAAAAGCAAAGTAAAACTAAGAAATTAATTTTTTTGTTAGTCAATATTTGCATAAAAGATTTATTTAATTGCTTGTGGAATATTTGAAATGAAAGAATCAATCTCACCTGAACGAAGAGCTCCTCCCTCACTTCTTCAAGTGGATCGATGAAAATCTCACATTCAGTTTTTGGTTCCTTGTAATGAAAAGCTTCATCCTCAGCTGGGGGTACTTTCTGGGACTTATTTTTGTCCCAGTTCAGGGGGACAGGGCGACAGCCTGGCTCCAGGTACTGCAGACCAAACCTTTCTCCTGTATCACTGTTGGAAATGTGTAAAGCTGGATATTTGGTTTGGCCTATAATTTCCTGAGCGAGTCTGTTCAGGTCTGACACCAGAACAGGGTCAAAAACTGCAGGGAGCTTCAAATCCGGCTGTTTCAGGTCCACAAGGCGCTGAAAATTCCACCGAGCAATTCCCATCATCCCCTGTGCCTGGAAGAGCTCAGTGGACACCTGCGTCCCAGTGACCCACCTGGCCTGGTGGAAATGAAAGCCCTCCTGCTGAGAAGTTCCCCTCACAGGGATCCACACAGGTACTGCCGCTTTCTCCCCCTTAACGTGGTTCAACTGTATGGTTCCTCCGTGTCTGTAGAGGACTCCTTCTCCAACCTCTGGGTCACTCAAACAGCCACGGAGGATGTGAACCCTTTGAATTCTCCACACTTTCAGCATGGAGGGTTTGAAAAGCGGCACCCCATCAGGATCACGTTCTGAGTAAAATCTCTGCAGAACACTTTCCACTCTCTCCACCAACTCTGCAGGACCTGGGATCTTGTTGCGGCAGTGGTCTCTAATGTGCTGCTTTGTTGGGTTTGGTGGCTCGATCCCACAGAAAATGTAGGCCTGCCGCAGCCTCTGCAGGTCTGCCTGGTCAACTACACAGAACGCTGCTGACAGGAATTTGCAGAATGTGCTGTACAGCGGATGATGTTCTGAAGTGCACTCTCTGGAGAAACGCCGCATACAGTGAAACAAGTCCAGCTTGATGCTAATTTCACTGTTGTACTTCCTTCTAGAAGCACAGCTGTTGGTGAGGCTTCCAGAAGTTGCCTCAGCTACTGCAGCATCTGTTGTCTTCCAGGAGTCCCACAGCAGGTGTTCATGTGGTTCAGGGTTTGGGATCCTGAATGCAGCACAACAATCCCTGAAACATAAACAGAAAAATACATTTTGAAATGTGATGCAGAGGACCTTGAGGATGCTGCAGGGGTTCCTGGGAGGTAAATTGTATAATGTAGGTAAGTATAATTAAAAAAAAGTATCAATGATGATTATATGTTTTATTATTGAAATAATGTACTCACTGAGACCCAAAACAGGCTCTGGTCTTAAGGGTGGTGTGGTCTTGCTTAATGGTATTTTGAGAGCAAGCAACTCTGGAGGTACTGGTGCAGGACGCTTCGAAGAAGCTGTGGAAAAAAAATCTGAAACTTAGTATTCTGTAAACAGATCAAATGCACGCAGATGTGCATTTATCCACCTGATGTAGGAGTGACAGGGGTGCTGCAATCACCAGCTTGGTCTGGTTTCGAGACTGCTGCCGTTGCTTTGAAGTTTCCTGAAGCAGAAAAATATATTTTTACCACCATTACCCACATATGTCTTCTTGACAAAATACATATAAAGACAATGGAGGTAATCAAATAACATGTGGGTGTGATATGATAAATGATTTGTAATTCTTTAGCTTATTTAATTATATGGTGGGTCACCATCTCATTTGAATGAATGATACATTTTTATAAATCATTGCATTTATTTTTCTTTTACTTTTCTTTTTAGGCTTAAAGTTCTTCCTTATTGTAATCGCAGAAAGCGAAGACGTGGAAACAGCGCCCCCAAAATCCCGCTGGTGGTCAAACAGTGCATTACATCCGTAGTGTTAAGAACTACCATAGAGAATGAATGCGAAAAGTTAAGAGAGTTAGGCTTAACTATTTTCGCTCCCCGTTCTTGAACTAAGCAGCTATAATGATCCTTTATTTTACATTTACTTAGAATAGGATTTTCTTGATGTGTCTTGAAACCAGTAAGTATTTTAAAACCTTACCAGAAAGCAACGTGATACATTTGCTTTTACCTCAATATCTGTTTTCTTCTACAGAGATCTTTATGGTAGATCTAAGCATTGTGTAAATTGTTTAACTATGTGCAATTAAACCAAGCAAATTTGTTCTTTTTTTTTATTCAAAAAGAGGGAGCAACTGTTCAAATTCACACATACACACACACACACATATATATATATACACATATATGTGAATAACATTATATATGCTATATACAATATACATTCTATATATTAGAATGTAGTGTTCAAAAGGAAAAGCATGTCGGGGGAAAAAAACCTAGAACAAATGCTATGGCATGCTGAAATATTTACATTTGTAAACCTCCCATATTTACAGTATATTCAGATTATTTTGTAGACATTTTTGAACTTTTAGAATAATAACAAAAATACCTAGATAAACTTTACAGAATCATGTGCTTTACTTTTTCCTCTCAGCCACCCACCGCTTTTTTTCTGCCTCATAGAAAGGAGACTCTGAAAACTCCTTCCAACCCATTTCCCTCACCATACCATGTGACTGGTAAATGGACAGAATTTTAGATGGACAATATATATATTTCCTGGCACTCCAGGGAACCCAATGTGAATGTGTAGACTGTTTGGCCCCTGTTTCAGGTCTTTGCGGCAAAATCTGCAAAGTCAGCCTGTTGGCTGGGATTCTGTCCTTTTTCTCTTCTTTTCTGTTTTTTCCTCAACCCGTTTCTTTGTTTCCTGCAGTTCCCTTTAAAGAATTCTGTGGAGGAAAATTCTTCAAAGGACATGTTTTGGATGGAAAGTCCCTCAGCAGCGTAAGTGTCATGTACTTTTTTTGAGCAGTAGAAATAGCTAACAGGTCCCTGCTGGAAGAAAAAACGAATGGAGGAACCATCAGTCTCATAACGAGACTTTGTCTGTCCACAGAAAAGACAAGTCTTTGTCTGTCTTTTCTTCTGCTCAGGCTGTTGTTGCTGCTGCTTATTCAAAATCCCCTCCACAACTTTTTCCAAGGAAACCTGGGTGATGGGTATGGACAAAGCAGGTGCAGGTGGGTTGAAGACTGCTGGCTTGATTGTGGTGACAGGCACACTGGTGGACTGACTTCCCTCAGTTAAAGTGTGCCACAGTTCCTGGGTTTCCACAAGTTTTTTGGGGCTTGTGTTCACTGAAGAACTGGTGTTCAGGAGCTTTGCCAAGTGCTTCACATACCGGGAGATCTGTGGCTTGCTTGGTTGTTTGATGAAATAGGCTGCTGGGATTCATGGCAGCCCGACGAACCATGACTGCATATTACTGATCCACAGCCTTCAAAGATCTTTTTCCCCATGGTGTTTATGGAGCAAGCCATCAATTGCCTCTTTCATAGGTGTTTTCCAGAGAGTGTGATCCAGCACGAACACGCGCCCACCTGTCTTTACTGCTCCAATACAGGCACTTCTTGGTGAGGCTCGCAAAGGCAGAGGATGTGAAGTCTCTGAAACACATTAAGGTAAGTGCAATTCATCAGTTTATCATATACAAACTTGAGTTTTATGCAGAATTGTAAATAGATAGCACTGCATTCACTCACCTGCTGGAGAAACTTGGAGAAGCTCTGGAAAAACCGCTGATGCCTCAGGAGGTGGAGCAGTCAGATCTGAGCTCTGTGTTACAGGAGTTCATATCTTTTCAGCAGTGGATGATGGCAAAGGGAGCTGTGGGGGAGCTGCTACTACTCCTCTTTTCAAAGTCCTATTTTTTTGTCCCAATCAAGCAGCACAGGGCGGCAGCCAGGTTCGTTGTATTCAACCCCAAATCTTTCTCCAGTGTCCCCATTTGAAATCTGGAGTGCAGGATGCTTTTCCTGGCCAGTGACCCTTTTTAAAGATGTTTTTAATTCAGCTATCCCAGTTGGATTAAACCCAGCAGGAAGGACAACCACAAGCTGCTTCAGGTCCACTAGTCTTTGGTAGTTCCCACGCACAACCCCTGTCATGCCCTGTACTTGGAACAGCTCAGTGGAGAGCAGATTTCCAGTGACCCACTGGGCCTGATGAAAATGGTAACCCTCCTGCTCCGACGTACCTCTGACAGGAATCCAAATGGGGACCTTTGCTCCTTCTCCCGACACATGGTTGAGCTGAAGCGTTCCACCATATCGGTACATTATTCCCTCAGAGAGCTCAGGGTCACTCAAGCATCCACGCAGAATATGTACTCTCTGTATGCAGCATGGATGGCTTAAACAGAGGGACGTCATTAGGATCCTTGGCCAGGTGAAAATGTTGGATTACTTTCTCCACTCTGTCCAGTAGCTCTGTGGGCTGTGGTATCCTGGTCCTGCAGTGCTCCCGGATGTGCTGTTTGGTTGGATTGGCTGGAATAATACCACAGAACTTAAGCTTCTTTAGATCCTCCTGATCAACCATGGAGAAAGCAGCAGAGAGGAGCTGGCAAAAAGTGCTGATAAGAGGGTGATGTTCAGTAGTGCACTCCCTGGAAAAGTGCTGCAGACAGTGAAACAAGTCCAGCTTCACAACAATGTTGGGGTTGTAGCAGGACATTGAGGCACAATTATTAGTGAGAGGTCCTGAAGTGGCAGCAGCTAAAATGGAAGGAGTTGTTTTCCAGGCATCCAAGTTTAAATGCTCACCAGGGAGGCTGTCTGAGATATTAAAGGATGCACAGCAATCCCTAAAAAGAAGACAAGAATATTTATCAATCAACAGAAGCAGTTAAAACATAAATAGGTCTATACATGATATATAACTCAGTCCAAATTTTACTGCCTAAATGTTTTGCCCACCAAATGTTAGTAATAGACAGGCATATATATCTTGGCTTTAATTTCTAAATTCTTTTTAAGATTTCTATTTTTGTTCTTATCATTCCTTTTCTTAGTTCACAAGTCTTTCAAATAGAAAATGTATAGATTTCCGTCCCTTAATTGAAAATGTTGCAGGCTAACGTTATAAAAGCTGCTGTCTAAAATAGGGGAGGTTTTTGTAGGCAGTTGAGGTAAAGGAATCCATACCCTTCTACCTGTCTTTTTGAAATATATAGAACTAAAAAAAATAAATAAAAGGTAAAATATAAAAGCGAACGCTGCAGTTTTAGAATCCAGGCTGGTTTCCTCTTTTGGGTGGGTTATTTTTTTTCCCCCAAAACTCTTTGTGTTAGTTACTTTAGTAAAGAGAAACATTATTTGTTGTAAAAATAAAAAAAAAACACATTTCTGTTGTGCTAATATCTGTATGTGTCAGTCACTGATCATTCTGGTATGTGAACCATTACAAAATCTCTAGAACTTTGTGAAGCAGTGAAAGCAGTCGATTTCTGCTCCTACCTGTCCACCCAGTGAAAGCCGGCATTCTCCACTCCAGTATCCCCTGGTACATTGGTTCCAAGGATCTCTCGCTCTCTGACTGAACCATCACCCAGGAAACGATTAACCAGTGTTCATTCATAATTGCGAAAGTGGACATGATCCCAGATGCTAGAGAGACCTTTCGTGCAACCTTCCTGGTGTGATCAGACCTGTCCAAACGTTCCCTGGAGGAGTCTGGATAAAGCTGGCTCTTGACATCTGTACTCCTCAAGCAAACAGTCTGTCAGGTAGAAACCACACACAGAGATACCACCCCAGCCATTTGAATCTTCATAAGAGCCGAATGGGTATGGTGTTTTGCTTTTTCTGACAAACTGCCCAATGGTACTTTGTCCATGCACCCCTGCCTCTGCATCCCAATGGCCTGTAGATATGCCAAATGAGCTTGTTCATATTAAAGAAGCATGAGCTCATTCACTTGGTTCGCCATATTGGTAGGGGACTTTCTGATGTGCCTGAGCTCATCCATGACCGACTTACAGATGGCATTCTTGTAAGTGAGTATCGCTGGCAGAAGGTTGGTAAATCTCCAGGGCAGCTTCTCTAACCATTGAGGGAGGTCAGCAAACCAGTTCTTCTCACAACTCTTGCAGCAAAGCCTGGAGGACAGAATGTAATATTGCCCACTAGTCCCAACTATCACCCGAGGCCGACCCACACCAGAGGACACCACCTGAGGATGAGGGCATCCATGAAGACATGGCAGATGTTAGTTGTTTTTCAACCTGGGCATGATTTCATTTTATGGTTTCCAAATGAAGAATGGGTGAAGCTGAAAGAAGTTGGGAGATGGGAGCTCAGTCACTGTGTCTATGAGCTCAGGCTGTGGAGGATGACGCCAAAGGGAAATCGTATTTCCGAGACGCCTCACAAGTCGAGATCCAGGCCAAAGACCAAGGTCTTGCATCTCTGTTCTCATCCACAGTTTTTGCTGCTGAGAACAGTTCCAGCTGTTCAAGTCTTGGTCATGTTGACGCTGGGGAGCAGCAATGGGTGGCTGAGCTGAGGAAACAATAGTAAAAAAAAAAAAACACAACAAAAAAACATCAAATTAAGGTTTCATTAAAAAGGGGGTGGGGGGGGCACATTGTGTTTACAAAACATTTCACAGAATGTAGAAATCAAATTACTTAACCAGGGGTTTATGTGGCACACTGGTTTTTATTTATGGAGGACAAGAAGATATTTTTTTCTGGAGCAAGTACTGCTGCAGTTTTTTCATTCTAGTCCCTGGAAGGCAGCTCTTCTTTAGAATAAAATCAGCATACCCATCTTCTCTTGTGTCCCAAATGTCCTTCCAAGTGCTCTTGGCCCGAGATTCATAACCAACCAGCTGAT